GCTTTTAGGATTCATTAATTTATCTTTCATAAGTAAGAGGCTGATACATGCCTATGAACCTTTGTCTAGTTGACCATCATGTCTTAAAAGTTTAGGCTACATTTTGTCCCACTCTAAAGCTAATAGAATTCCAAATCAGTTTTCTAATTTCTCGCCAATGTGCTGGATCGTGTTTTCTTTGGCTAGTTGGGAGGTTCGTGTGTCTCTTTATTTGTTTCAGATCAGATTGGAGAAATGCTATATATGATTATTTGAGCCATAATAGTGAGTTCCGCGAGAGGGTAAGAACGTGAGAAATGTCACTAGTCGTTCAAGTTGGAGTGAAGCCCATTTGATAGCTTATTTTCTCTTTTGTAATTCATATCTCTGATATGTAATTNCCTATCTGATATGTAATTTGTAAAGACTTTATATACAGTAGAATGGGGCAATTGGAGAAGGGAATTAATTACTAGTATGTTCTAATTATTGGTTTATGCCTGGTTTTTGCCGTTTCTGGAAAACTAAGTTTTTTTTAGCTAAATAACTTTTATATGCTATTTCGCACAAATATGAAGTTTATATATCCAAATGCGAGTCTCCATTTTTTACCTATTATTTTGAAACGAAGTCTGCATATGTTCTCTTTGTACTTTGAATTTCTTTCTCATTTTTCGGTCTTTCTATAAAAGGAGAACAATCTTTTAAATAAGCTATTAGTTGATTTAACATAACTATCGTTTCCTGTTTGCCTAATCTTTATGGGTTTAGTGAAATACTTTAGTCCATTTTTCGCTCTCATTTTCTACAACTACCTTTGTACTTTAGCACGTACATTAACAATTACTTAATTAATTCGGAGGCCAACATGAGCCCTTACTTGTCTTATGTGTTATTTGTGTAAGTTCCAATATACTCCTTTTATGTGACGCTAATAAGAATGAAAATAGAAACCTGAGATTTTTCTTAAGTCTAAAACCATCCCTTTAGAATAGTGTCCAAAGCCTCCTGGACTATAAGAAGGGGCGGGTAGTCTTAAATTAAAACGTAATTTAGAATNAATACTTTAGTCCATTTTTCGCTCTCATTTTCTACAACTACCTTTGTACTTTAGCACGTACATTAACAATTACTTAATTAATTCGGAGGCTAACATCAGCTCTTACTTGCCTTATGTGTTGCTTGTGTAAATTTCAATGTGCTCCTTTGATGTGACGCTAATAAGAATGAAAATAGAAACTTGCGATTTTTCTTAAGTCTAAAACCATCCCTTTAGAATAGTGTCCAAAGCCTCCTGGACTATAAGAAGGGGCGGGTAGTCTTAAATTAAGACGTAATTTAGAATTGATTAGTGCGCTCTTAGGCTAACAACTTAAAGATAGTAATGAGGGTAGCGGACATGATACACAAATTGCCCGAATAGCCATTGCACTTTTGGCTATAAAAGTCTTAGCTGACTTTGCACGGGAGTTGATCCATCAGGCTTAAAAATTTAGGTCCCTCTTTTATGTAAGTAGGTTTTTTTACGATTTACAATTCTTACATTTTTCCGTTACTAGTTTTAATTATTTGCTTTGACCACTTAGGATTAATTCATAACTCAGCAACCTACAACTTAGTTTAACCCAATAATCCCACATAGTCTAGAATTCGGCCGGGAACCATAATTATGGACCTCGAAGAGTGCCTAACACCTTCTCTTCGAGGTAATTTGAACCCTTACCCGATCTTTGATGATGTAGACTAGTTAAATCAGATTTATTTGCAAATAGGTGCCCTAACGCACCCTAAATCGTTAGGTGTCGACTCTTCTCTTTTAATACCCATTTAAAAGAGTTGTCATATATCGAAACTCACTTTCGTGAGAAAATGTGGCGCGACAATTGCTACATGTTTATTTGACTTATGTGTCTTAATTGCTACTTGACATTTAACATATTAAATATTAAATTGGCTATCTTTCTCCCTGATTTCCACAATTTATTGCTACTTGTCATTACTTGTTTTCTGAATAAATCATAATAATTGTATGCTTTGTTGCCTAATAATTTTTTTATTAAATGTGGTATTTATTAGAGTATTTTTACATTTAAGAGTTGTTAAGTTTATATTATTGGAGTGAGTTGCATGCCACAACGGATTTTATTTTAAGTTTATATTGTTGGAGCGGGTTACACGCCGCAACGGAATTTATTCGAAAGATTATATTGTTGGACCGGGTTGCACGCCGCAACGGATTTTATGTTAAGTTTATATTGTTGCAGCGGGTTGCACGCCGCAACGGATTTTATGTTAAGTTTATATTGTTGCAGCGGGTTGCACGCCGCAACAAAAATAAATTGAAGGATTATGACTGTTGAATTGACTTCAATTATTGATATGATTTACCTGTCTTAACTTTATTCCTGTTATTATTATTATTATTATTATTATTATTATTATTATTATTATTATTATTATTATTATTATTATTATTATTATTATTATTATTATTATTA